AGGTTTGAAAGTACAATTCACCTGCTGTCTCTTTTTACCTGTCCATTACTCAGCTTTAGGTTTGTCCCTCTTTTATCTGATCTCTCTCCCTTTTCTCATCTCCCAAGGTCATTCTCCCATTCTATCAAGAGCCGTGGCGGTGCAGTGGTTAGAGTACAGGTGCTGCAGGCTAACTCATTGCTCACTGCAGGTGTTCAATTCTGACTGGCTCAAGGTTGGCTCAGCCTTCCATCTTTCCGAGGTCGGTAAAATGAGGACCTAGATTATTGGTGGCAATAGGCTGACTCTGTAAAACACTTAGAGAGGACTGTAAAATGCTATGAAGTGGTATATAATTCTAAGTGCTATTGCTATTTCACAGTCTGTTTCATTGGCATTTCATTGGCAACTTGATGGGCAGGAAGTTCCTCTAGCTGAAATCTCCATCCTCAGTTGCATCCTTTCTGGTTTCAGGTTTACAACTTCCTTCCCAAGAAGGATCACATCTTCTCTGTTGACCTCTATAAGAATGCATTCAATATTTATCCCTGTCCTGCAAAAAATCCATCGAGGGGTGAAAGAATTGGCTTCTCAGTGCATTTTATTCCTGAAGATGGGGATTCTTACCGCATATTCAGGGTAAGCATCAAAGTTCTGATTCCCCACAGGGGAGATGCTCTCATTAGGCAAGGAGAAGTGCATAGTTGGTTCTCTGCTGAGCTGAAGTAGACTTCTGGTATCTTCCTGGGCAGATCCATAGAGATATAGTTTCCTTGCAGGATCCAATCTGGGTCGGTCACCGAGACCAGAGGTTTTGTCTTCCACATTTTCAGTCTCATGCTGGAGCCCATCCTCAGGAAACTAGCACGCATTCTGGTAGAGAGATGTTCCCTGAAGATGAGCTCTAGCATGATCCCAAAACTCAGAAGACAAAATCCCTTGTTCCTGTGACTGACTGAGATTGGTCCTGGAACATTATCCTGGGACACATATATTCGCCTTAATTCATGATATGCTTTCCTTATTTTCTTAATGGTTTGTCTTTTCTAACCATCTGCCCTGGGATTTAATCTAACCTTATGGGTGGTCCTCAATTTATGACCATAATTGAGCCCCAAAATTCTCTTGCTAAGTGAGACATTTGTTAAGTGAGGTTTGCCCCATTTTATGACTTTTCTTGCCACAGTTGTTGAGTGAATCATTGCACCAAGAGTTAAAAGTCCTAGTGGCACAGTGGTTAGAATGCAGTAATGCAGGCTAACTCACTGTTTACTCCAGGAGTTCAATTCTGAGCAGCTCAAGGTTGACTCAGTTTCCAAATCCTTCTGAGATCGGTAAAATGAGGATCCAGATTGTTGGGAGCAAAAGGCTGACTGTGTAAACCTCTCAGAGAAGGCTGTAAAGCACTGTGAAGCAGTATACAAGTACTATTGCTATCAGCCAAGAGCTGCCATCTGCTAAGAAAGACCTGTCAAACTGAGGACCTGCAGGCCAGATACATCACACACAGTGTTAAGCCTGGATTCCCCAACGGGTGTTAAGGAAAACAAACTAAACAGAACGTGCAGCGAAGTCAGATAGGAAGACAGGTAAATGTGTGAGATAAGTTTTTTAGTTAACACGCAGTAAAAATACAGATACGCTTGTGCTATCAAAAATATAGTTTATTCCATTTAAGAATTATAGCATAGTCAGATAAACGGTCCATTAATCATATATCATTTCAGTCAAGTCTTGTCGGGGATACTCAATTTGCAAAGTCCGTGTTGAATAGCCAATGTCAGTTCACTTACAATAAATCAGTCCAATCTTTATTTTCTCTCCGTTGAGAAAAATCAACACTCCTTTTTCTCTCCCCGTTCCAGCTAGAACGCAGTCATCAATCCATCCAGTAATTAGGGATCTTCAAGCCAGAGAGAGCGAGCTGCAATTGCCTCGCTTCTTATATAGTGCTTTTACAACCACACCCTTAATTACATTCTTGCAGTTAAAGTTACACACACTTTAACTAACAAACCATGATACCATATTTATTATTTTTACCCAAAGCAGTTAGGGTAAACAATGTTATCCCTAACACACAGGCCATGCCTACCCCAGCTCTGCAAAGGACAAATAACATTGCGATACATTTCGAGATGCCACGTGACACAATTGAGTTTGACACCCGTGAACAAAGACTTCTCTCCCACTGCTTCTCTGCTACAGACCCATCAAGGGATTGGCTTTCTGGCTATATCTAAGGGGCATGCATAAGTGCACCATCATGCCTCCTGTCCCTGTCCTATTGTCCTCATTTATTTGTACCTATTTCCTGTATTCTCACTCATGTTTATACTTATACCTATTATCATGTAAGCGATTGACAAATAAAATAAATAAAATAAATGAAGATGGATATAGAAGATGCCAATTTCCATCTGTTGCTTCTCTGTCCCTTTAAGTGCCACCCAAATGGGCTGCGATATGTACAGAGGATACAGCATTATGATTTATTTATTTTTTTAACTGGAGATGGTGTCTTCAATAATACATTCCTTATGGTTGGGTATATTAGCACGTACTGAGAATAAACGTTGATCATTAGTTTTCATGAGCAGAAAGGATTGCTCCTCAGTGGTTCTTTGCTTTATCTGGTAGGACTTTGGCGTGAACATTTTTACCAACACCAGGCTGTACATCCCAAATCACTGCTCTGATTACGGTAAGAACTGGAATGTGGAAAAAGTGGTAAGGAAAAGTATCTTTTATAATCGAGCTACTTCCAGGATTGAGTGCTGGAACTCTTTCATGCATGGAGACCCTGATAGCTGAGATTTGATCCCAAATTCCTGTGTTCCACAGTGGCTGAGGGAGTTCCTTTGCGGCAGAAATTGGGTATGTCTAGTCTAATGAAAAGAAGAACTAGGGTTGACATGATAGCAGTCTTTCAATATTTGAAGGGTGGCCAAAGAGAAGGGAGGGGGGGGGGTCAACCTATTCTCCAAAGCATTTGAGGCCAGGACAAGAATCAATGGTTGAAACCTAATCAAAGAGAGGACCAACCTATAAATAAGGAGCCCTTGCCCAACAGTTAGAACAACTAACCAGTGGAACCGCTTGCCTTCAGAAGTTGTGGGTTCTTCATCACTGGAGACTTTTAAGAAGAGATTGGCCAACCCCTTGTCTCAAATGGTATAGGGTATTATGCTCAAACAGCCGGTAGAAGACCTCCAAGGTCTCTTCCAGCTCTGTTATTTCATTGTTCTGTACCCTAGAATCCATATGATCTGCACCATGTCATTGTTACAAATAATGTCACCACGTGGGCAATGCCCCAAAAATCCTTGACCTGAACTCTCTTAAGCAATTGAGAAGAGCCGTGGTGGTGCAGTGGTTAGAATGCAGTATTGCCGACTGCCAGAAGTTCGAATGTCACCAGGCTCAAGGTTGACTCAGCCTTCCATCCTTCCAAGGTCGGTAAAATGAGGACCCAGATTGATGGGGGCGATACGCTGACTCTGTAAACCACTTAGAGAGGACTGTAAAGCACTGTAAAGGGGTATATAAGTAAGTGCTATTGCTATTCCTGACTTGTTGAGGACTCAAATCCTGACTTGTACAGAGACACGTACAAGCGTCAGAAACCAAAACCATGAAGCAGTAGATTCTCCTCCCATTGAAGCATCAATAGGCTACAAAAGCCCACCACTAAGCAAAGCATAATTCACACGGTTAATGTTAAGACACCCCCCCTCCAGTAAAAAGATATTTGAGGAAAAGTTTTTCTTTTTTTAAAAAAAGTCAGGATGACAGCCAGACCTGTGTGTGTGAAGCCTGTCCCTTTTTTATGCCTGTCAATATAAAGAGGTGTGACTTTGATCAACCAATTGGAGCCACCATCTTGTCAGAAACTTAGTTCCTCCCACCACCCCTCGCATCACATTAGATGTTGAGGTTAAGTGGGGGAGGAATTGAGGGGTTGATATTAAATGGAATGGGATGGACTAGAACAGAACAGAACAGAACAGAACACTTCATTTGACGAAGCATGATTAGACACACAAGGAATTTGTCTCCGGTATAAAAGTTCTCAATGTGCATGCAAAGCAAGAGCAATAATAATCATAATATGTAAAAAGGTTAAATTATGGCAACTGGACCAAAGTTTACTAAACTGAGATGTTTCATTACTCATCCAAGTTTAACTCCTTCTGTCAAAAGAAAACTTTTGGGTTACACATAGAGTGAAAGAGTCATTGAGTAGGACTTTGGTCCAGTTTGCCACGATTTAACCTTTTTACATACTTTTGCCCTGGGTAATTGAGTCTTCATTTACATAATAATCTCAATATGATGCCAATAAGAGCGGGCAGTAGAAAAGATGAAAAGGATAATAATAATACCACAGCCATACAGCACGAGTGAATATACTTAGACATCGCACAACACTGTTTTAATTGAAGGGTTGATAGTAACCATCACAAAGAGTGTTAGATCGGGTAGATCGGTCCCCACAGAGATGCGAGACCAAAAAGTGAACACTCAGCTCTTTATTCAGTATACAGTTCTGTACAAGACCTGCGATCCGCGGCAGCCCTTCATATAGGGGTTGCTCGCGGCTCGGCGGCCAATGACAGCGCTTTGAATCTCCCGCGATCGGCTTGGCCAATCGCGGTTGATTCTTAGCGCACCAATCATGGCCGCTTAGTTGTCCAATCAGGTTGCGGTCCGTGTGGACCAATCAGGATTCAGGGTTTGGAGTATGTTAATATAGAACAAAGAGGATGGAGTTTATGGGGGAATCTAACAGGTGATGTTTGAATTCTGGAACAGAGTTCTATGAAGCAAAGAAAGTGGAAAGGTTGAGGTTTCCAGTGGTGAAATTAGGACATCGTTGGACCTGTTGTCCAACTGTCTGGAAGCCTCCCGTCATCCACTATGAATTTATGTGGACAAAGATCAAAACTGGATGTGGGAGGGGAGGGATTAGTATCCTTTGAGTATAACTCATCAAATAGCTTTCTCTCTGTGTTACAGTGATGGCAATGAAATTAGACGGTTTACCAGGACCTGGACGCCCTCTTGTTGATCAGCCTTTCATTTCCCCAGTAATTGGCTCTATGCCAATCCCTGGAGGTTCCTTTAGTGTTGGTGCTGCTCTTCCGGGGCTTCCCACACCTCAGGTTGAGGCTGCTCCTAAAAGGACACCTCGGCGCTTGTTTCCTGAAACGTGGATGTGGGACCTGGTTATTATAAAGTAAGTGGATAGCACAACCTAATAGATTTCCCTGAAGACCAATTACTACAACCTAGGGGAGCTTCCAGGTATGGACGGCTATAGCTCCCCCCTCCCATCATCCCCAATGGCAAGTTTGAGCTGGCTTGGCTGAGCACGAAGGCAGTCGTAATCCAATATTTCTGGAAGGCACCAGGAGAAGGAAGCTGCATCTGAATTTTCATCCACATGACAATGAGGAAGCTGCAAAGGTTGTAACTTTGAGAAATGGTCATAAGCCAGGTTTTTTCAGTGCCTTTGTAACTTTGAACGGTCCCTATGGGAACTGTTGTAAGTTGAGGACCACCTGTATTATTGTGTAGACATCTGATTCATTGGGGTGTTTTGCACAACTGCTCTGGGACTAAGCTATCTTTTATGCTGTTCCCCCCACCCCTCAAAATGTATGGTTAGTGCTAAATTTATATTCCTAGTTGAGTCTGGAATTATGGTCATAAGTCATTGCAGTTGTGAATTGAGGCACGGTGACCTGGCCCTGATTTTTTTTTTTGCCATGGTCATTAAACAAATAGCATGGTTGTTAAGCAAATCCTTTTTTCCCCAATGGGGCTTGCTTGCTGGAGACCAGAACTAACTGCCAGAAATCAACACACCTGTAGTGGATTGCTTCACTCACTTTCTATTCTCTTGTGTCCTTCAGTGGTTCTCAAGGAAATAGCCATTCTCAACTCCATAGTTCCAGTAGAAAGAGTGATGTATCTGAAGAACCCAAAGAGATTGCTCTTCCTGTGACCATCCCGGACACCATCACCGAATGGAAAGCTGGAGCTTTCTGTCTTTCAGCAGACGCAGGCTTTGGCCTGGCCCAGCCCACTTTTCTGAAGGCCTTCCAGCCGTTCTTCATTGAACTCACCTTTCCATACTCTGTGGTGCGAGGAGAAGCCTTCCCACTCAAGGCTACCGTCTTCTCCTACCTGACTTACTGCATCCGGGTAAGAAGCGCTTTACTGCTGGCTATGGGACCTTCCCTCTGTATTCTTGGAATTGCTTGGTCCTCTTTCTCTGCCTGAGTCCATTTGCTCCAATTCAGAATAACAAAATAACAGAGCTGGAAGAGATCTTGGGTGGTATTCTAGGCCCATCCACCCCGTTCTGTCCTCAATACACATTAGTCTGTGCGCAGCTAGACATGCAGCTAAACCTACCTATCCACCAATAAAACAGACCATGTGCGTAGATCTGAATGCTTTATTCAAAGACCAGGATATGGTGAAACTCGGGGAAAATAGGAATACATACAATGAGAACCAAATACAAGATAGAGAATATTGAGTTACTGCTGAACATAACAATAAATTTAAATCTCACCAACAATGCTCAGTGTGTGGGATGTGGGTTTGTTCTTGGATGACCATGTGCCACAGATTAAGATGGATTATTCTTTGTGCTTCTGCCTTCTCCAAATGCTAAAGGAAATGGAGTCTGGCTTTATAGTGTGCCCTTAAGAGTGCAGGCTGATGGGTAAAGAGGTTAGATCAGCTTCAAACAATATAATTAGTAATTGTCTCTCTGGACACTAGATGGGGCTAGAGAGCAACAATAGTATATAAAAGTTATATGCTGGGGCATTACACCCCCTCTTCTAGCAGGAACCTATATCATTCTGGACCAGGGGTGTCAAGCTCGTGTCATCATAGCATCATCACGTGATGTATTGGGACTTTTTTCCCCTTCACTAAACCAGATGGGGGCAGGGCCAGCACGTGACATATCCGACCCGCGGGCCTGAAGTTTGACACCCGTTTTGGACAAATGGCTATCCAATCTTTTCTTTAAAATCTCCAGTGATGAAGCACCCACAATTTCTGGAGGCAGCCTATTCCACTGATTGTTCTCATTCTCAGGCATTGCTTCTCTCCTTAAATTTCCATCCATTACTTCTTGTTCTGCTTTCAGGGGCTTAATTCTTAACTGTCCATTGTTTGCATTCAAGGTCTCAAAACTGCCTGAAATTATCCTGCCCCAATTTGCAAACAAAAAACCCCAATACCTGCGCTCCCATTTTTGCTAGAGAACTGGCTTTCAATACCTTTTTTTTCCTATAGTACATTATTTCAAGCTTGGTGATTTTAAAAATGATGTTTGGACTTCAACTTCCAGAATTCCCCAGCCAGCAAACTGAAGTCCATTCAATTTAAAGTTGCTGAGTTTGAAAACACTACCCTAGCAGATGCTTCTCTATTGAATAATGCATCCATGAAAGTAATGAGTGTATGGGGGAAATGAACTAGAACTAACAGAGGGAGTGTAGGTTGTACCCCAAAGATTGTGGTTGGTTTTACATTAGCAAGAATGGGGTTCATCCCACTTTTTGAGTTCTTTAATTGCTCATTTTTACCAAGAATAGCAAAGAGAAGCTTATTGGATTCTTATTTCAAGCACTAGAATAACTGTGCTCTGTATCTATTATGATGTCAAGACTTGGGACATAATGCTACATTCTTTATCTTTTGCAACAAAATACTTGGACCACCCTGGCTATTTTCTTCCTCATACATTAATGCCTACAATATGGAAGTATGATTAACTTTTAATTCAACCAGTTCCAAAGGATAATTTATTCGAAAAGACTATGAGAGATGGTGCATACGGAGGGAGAGTTAGGAAGGTGAGTTACAGTGATTAGCAGTTTCCCAGGAAGGAGGGGCACATTCTAGAAAGTGAGGGGGGGATGAGGCACCACAGCTTGGAGCGGGATAGGAGACAGAGATTTTGGATAGCCACTCCCTAGAATCTGCCAGGATATACCTGCTAGACTGGGAATGAGCTTGCAAGATTCTGTCTATTGTGTATAAACGGAGAAAGATCTGAACTCTGGCTGAACTTTTCTTGAGCTTAGCCTGACAAAGATATAGATATAGGTAAAGATGGAACCTTTCAAAGCATATTGCCTAGTTTCTAGGAGAATAAAAGAGTTTTGAACAGACTGTATATTATCCTTTTCATTCATTCATTCATTCATTCATTCATTCGTGTGTGTGTGTGTGTGTGTGTGTGTGTAGGGAAGATGGAGGCATAACAATCCAATAAACAAACAAATATTCAAACATTACCACAGGTGTTAAAAACTGAACCAATCAATAAAAGCAAAATTGGGGGGGAGGAACATTCACCTAATCATAGTATGACCATTGTGCAGGCTCCCCATGGGTTCACCAATGTTGCTGAAGACACCATCTTTTGAGAGCCTTTTGAAAGGCTCAGCCTCATAGGAAATGATGATTATGAGTTTTTCTCTGCACTGCAGTGGGGATATATAACTTTCCCTTTGAACTATTTTTTTTTCCAAATGGACAGGTCAGAATATCTCTGACGCCTTCTGCTGACTTTGAGGCATCTCCTATGGAGGAGGAGGAAGATTCCTATTGTATCTGTGCAAACGGAAGGAAAACAGTGTCATGGATGATGACCCCTAAAATTCTAGGTAAGTGTAACTCTAATAGTGGAGCCATTACTTAGAAGATGACCTTTTCCCTCCATGTGTAAAGTAAATCAAGGAGCAGAGTTTTAATTTCCTCCTAAGACTGTAATGTATGTAAGAAAGATCTTCTGGCACATGCATGTATGCCAGGCAGCTGATCTTCCTGTGTGCAGGAGTGCCAGAAACCGGAAGAGCAGCTCCCTAACATGCATACACAATGCCGGCAGCTGATCTTCGTGTGCACATACGTGTTAGTAACTGAAAGACCAGGTGGCCAGCACTCATGTGCACGCCAGGAAACTGACCTTCCAGTTTCCCACACCCATACATGTGTGTGGCTGTATTCCGGCACTTGGTGCATTTTCAGCTTGCACGTGTTCCCATTTTGGCACTTGGTTCCGAAAAGGTTAAAAGAGAGTATCTTCTGATCCTCTTGCATCTCCCCGCTATCCAGCCGCAGGGTCTATTGTCCCTTATCCGACCATGTCCCTTGGCAGGTTCTCTTTGCCCAATCTTTTCTTGGTCCTTTCTACATATCATTACTGTATCATCACCATCATAGCAATAGTGCTTTACAACCCTCTCTAAGTGGTTTTACAGAATTGGTGGACATGTTGCTAAACATTTTGGCCCATCTTGCAAAAGACTTTGGGCCAATTTCAGGGAGAGTGAGCATTCTACTCCAGCCTTAGGCACACAGCTGTCATAGAGTCACCCTTAGGCCTTCTTTTCACCAGACCAGTCAAACATTTGAATTTGAATATAATCTCAGCACCCCGTCCACCATCTTGCGGGGAAAAAACAGCTCCTTCCCTTCCTCCTCCTCCTCAGGCCACGGGGAGCGCCAGGAAATGGAGTCCGCCTCTTGCAGGAAAGGCTGCCCACCGCAAAGCAGCCTGGGAGCAAAAGCTCGGGGACCGGAGTTTGGGGCTCTCTGTGATAGACAATCTCTCCCAACTGCGGAGCCTGCCAGGAAATGTAGTGCGCGGGTGCTGAAAGGGACAGCTCCTCCTCGCCTTTGGGAAACATTGAAGTTCTCCGGCTGAATAATTTGGGGTCCTCATTTTATCCATCTCGGAAGGATGGAAGGCTGAATCCACATTGGGCTCATCTTTTAATGATTTCAATCATTGCTTGCGGGGTGGAATCTGGGCAATTGAATGAAGCTGAGAGTTTACTGGCCGGATGTCCTTCCTGTTGCCAATGCAGAGTTCTTTTCAGCAGATATATTCTCACTGTGCCTAGAGAGAGAAATATCTGCCTCTACCTAGGTTCAAACTCACAGCCTCCTGATTGTGAGGTGAGAGCTCTACCTCCAGGCCACTGCACTTACTCACATACCATTACTACATAAAGGGACATATTGTAATGAGGCGAACCATTTCTGTTCCAGGGGAGGTCAACCTCACAGCAAGTGCAGAGGCTGTGACTTCAAATCAGCTCTGTGGGAATGAAGTAGTGGAGGTGCCCACCATTGGAAACAAAGACATCGTGATCAAGTCGTTATTAGTTGAGGTATGTGGGGTGCTTTAAACCCAGGCTGGGTAAGGAGAGGACACAGATGTCTGAGTAAAGCGATGGTGGATATTTTGTGTTAAATGTCAGAGATGATTCTGAGGAAAATGCCAACAGCCAGCAATTTATCCCAGTTAGTAGAGTTTCCCAGGTCAAGAAAAATGCTGTGAGATCATCTATCTAAGCTTTGGAGTGTTCCTTGGGAGAAGTCTGGCAAGATCTGAAGGGATCTTGTTAGTGGACCCGGTTATCTTTTTTCCCCCCTTTTTCGCTTTCTTCTCCTTTGGATTACACATTTTACAATACAAAACATGGCTACTATAAGGCATGAATTACTACAACAAAAGGGGGATCTTTTTAGAAAGCCAGCAAATGATAGAAAAAGGGATTAGTCAAGACTTTACATAAAAAGGGGTTTTTTTGTGTGTGTTTTTTGTTTTACATAAAAAGGGTTATGACACTGACATCCCCATACTCTGTTGAAGACGTTACCTAGCCTAATAATGAAAAGTTTGGAAACCAACCCACAAGCTCCGAGAATGAACCTTCAAACTCAAAAATTACCTTGTTAGGAAACAACACAAAGCAGTTCTGTGTTGATCTATCCAGTGATATGAATTCTAACAGATAACAGATAATCAGAGTTGGAAGGGACCTTGTAGGTCATCTAGTCCAACCCCCCCGCCTAAGCAGGAGACCCTACACCAGGGGTCTCAAACACAATTTACCTGGGGGCCACTGGAGGCAGAGTTTGGGTGAGGCTGGGCCGCATAAGGGATTCCACAAAAAACATTGTTAAAAAAAATATCCTCAAATGTCATCAACTCAAATGTCATTTCCGCTTCTACTTGTCACAACAGCGCGGTGGATGACGAACAGCCCGGTAGCAGTCGCCTTTCTCTGCATTTGATCATGGCATTTGTTGATGGTAGAAAGTACCGGAATGGCGACCGCAAAAAAATGCGACTGCTACCGGACTGTTCGTCATCCGCCACATTGTTGTTACAAGTGTAGTGTGCATGAAGTCGGTGTAGCTTAGCCTAGCACCGAATGTCAGCCACAACGAGGAATGGAGGGCAGGACTTCCTTCAGAGGTCCATTCCCTTTGCGGGCCGCACTAATATTATACTTTCATATCACGGTGGGGGGCACAGGATTGGCCCGCGGGCTGTGAGAATGAGACCTCTGCCCTACACCATTTCTGACAAAGGGCAGTTCAATCACCAACCACAATCTTCTGGGTACAACCACATTTCTTCTTGGTGCTCATCTACTTAACTCACATATTATGTCTACAGCAATTTTACTACATGACTCTTAACACTCCTGTTCACCTCTCCCTTTTTCCTTCCCTTTCTGTTCCGGTGAAGCCTGAAGGGATTGAGAAAGAAATGGTGTTCAACTCTCTTCTCTGTGCATCTGGTACGTTGCCCCTGTAGACCCAGTTCTTAACTTACTCTAAAAGCTCTTTTTTGAAGTGCCTCCTTCCAAAGATCACCACCTCCCCAACACAGGTATTCATGAAAGCCTAGAGGAGAGGAAAGAGTGGGGAGAAAGGATATAAACATTGGATATGGTCTCTTGAACAATTTGATTCCTGCTGAAATCACTACTGCAGCTCAGCCTTCTAAGCAGAACTTGCACCAAGAGACCAGTTAGAACAGCAGTGCCACCTGCACCATGATCAAAGTTCTGCATCTCTTTTATAGGAGAACCCGTGTCCAAATCTTTTCCTCTGACATTACCGGAGAATGTTGTAGAAGGCTCAGCCAGGGCCTCATTTTGTGTGCTGGGTAAGTGAGATACCGTCTTAATCATTTTAGAAATTAATTCTGTTCTTGGACACTCCCACATAAGGTCCCTGGGTCAATCTGGAAGCCACTCCAATTCCATGTACAAGTTGTCCTTAACTTACCACAGTTTGTTTAGTGACATTTGAAGTTACAACGGCACTGAAAAAAGTGAGTTATGACCACCTTTCACACTTACTGTACTACCATTACAGCATCCCTGTGGTCACATAATCAAAATTCAAATGTTTGGCAACTGACTCATATTTATGACGGGTGCAGTGTTCCGGGGGTCATGTGGTCATCTTTTGCGACCTTCTGACAGCAAAATCAATGGGGAAGCCAGATTCACTTAACAACTTGGTTACTAACTTAACAACTGCAGTGATTAACTTAACAATTGTGGCAAGCAACTATCTCACCATAGCAATGGAAATTTTGGGCTCAATTGTGGTCATAAGCTGTGGATTATCTGTATGGTCCATGGTTGACGGGTGCTTTCTAAGTCAATCCCTGGCACTGATTCACTGAACTATTGTGGCAAAAAAGGTAATAAAATGGGAGGAAATTCATTTAATTATCTTGCTCAGCAACAGAAACATTGGGTTCAATTATATAAAACTACTTGTATTCAAGCATGTTGGATAATCGCTGCAGTTGGCAGTTTTGGGGCATTGGGTTAAATGTAAGGACCTGCCTCAGCTACCTTTTCAAGAATGCATGACTCTTGAAACATTATTGGCATTTCAAAAGGAACTTTTACAGAGAGAAAGGGATTGCAGAGAGAACAGGCAGAATCTGAAGTTCCCACACAAAGTTTAGTTTATTCTTCCCATTCAAACCCCACCCCAATGGCCCTCATTCCAAAATAGCTAATACAGTATAGCAAGGATGTTTTGAGAACCCCGAGGCATTAGGTTGATAATGGTTCATCCTCAGAATGCTGTGACTTTGGTAACAGGCTAGAGCTGGCTGGGAGCAGTCCATCATGTTGACTTGGTCCTCCTCCCTAAATCCCACATGGTTACAGCAAAAGTGAAAGCATGCAAAGTATCTTGTCCCAGATGGCAACCCCCTCCCCCTTGGATTGGCAGCATTCTGGCAGGGACCTGACACTAAGGGTGGGAGAAAATTGGGTAGGTTTCTCTGAAAATTCAAACAGTGGCCTCTTTTGAGGGGGGGAATCAAAGTTGGCAAGATCCTCTCTATCATACGTCCTTTTCTTTCCCTTTCTCAGGAGACATTTTAGGAGGAGCGATAAAGAACCTCAATCAGCTTCTCCAAATACCCTACGGCTGTGGGGAGCAGAACATGGCCCTCTTTGCCCCCAATATCTACATCCTGAACTATCTCAATGAGACTGGACAACTGACACAGGAGATCAAATCCAAGGCTGTCGGATACTTAGAGGCTGGTGAGAAGCACCCCACAGGAATTCTCCTCTCATTCTTTCCCTACTGCAGTTGGGAAACTTTCAAAGGCTCCATCAACAGATTGGTTACTGGTATTAATAGAGGAGGTTGTAAATTAAACAGATAAGATTGACTAAGATTCTTGGAACCTTTCCAGATGTTAAGTAATATAGAGAAACAGTTTGGTGTACACTGGCCTAGAAACCAGGAGGCTGTAAGTTCTAGTACTGCCTGAGTATGAAAAAATGACTGTGTGATTTTGGATTAGTCACTCTAGATTGGTTGGGGAAAACAGAAAAGTGTTATGGGGAAGGTAAAACGAAGGAATAGCATGCACATTCTCCCTTTTGAATTTCTTATGAAAAGGTAGCAAATGAGGGATTACAATCTAATAAATAAAATAAAATATTGCTCAATGGCTTGCTGTTCTGGACAACCCAGTTAGCCTGCAGTAGCAGAGAATAGAATAGAATAACCGAATTGGAAGGTTTAACAGATAAGCAGAGTTGGAAGGGAACTTGTAGGTCATCTAGTCCAACCCTCACCCAAGCGGGAGACCCTACACCATTTCTGACAATGGCAGTCCAATCTCTTCTTGAAAGTCTCAAGTGATGGCGCTCCCACAACTTCTGAGGGCAAGTTGTTCCATTGGTTGATTGTTCTCACTGTCGGAAAGTTTCTCCTTATTTCCAGGTTAAATCTCTTCTTGGTTAGTTTCCATCCATTATTCCTTGTCTGGCCTACAGGCGCTTTAGAAAATAGCTTGACCCCTTCCTCTCTGAGGCAGCCCCTCAAATATTGGAAGGCCGCTATCATGTCTCCCCTGGTCCTTCACTTTACTAGACTAGCCAAGCCCAGTTCCTGCAACCATTCATTGTAATGTTTTAGCCTCCAGTCCCCTAATCATCCTGGTTGCTCTTCTCTGCACTCTTTCTAGAGTCTCAACATCTTTTTTATAGTGTGGTGAGCAAAACTGGATGCAGTACTCTAGGTGTGGTCTTACTAAGGCTTTATAGAGTGGTATTAGTACTTCCCTTGATCTTGATTGTATCTCTCGGTTAATACAATTTAGGATTGCATTAGCTATTTTGGCTGCTGCTGCACACTGCTGGCTCATATTTAGCTGGTTGTCCACTAAGACTCCAAGATCCCTCTCACAGTTACTGCTATTGAGCCTGGTTTCACCCAGTCTATATGTGTACTTTTGGTTTTTCTTGCCTAAGTGTAGGACTTTACTTTTCTCTACATTGAATTTCATTTTGTTAGATATGGCCCAGTGTTCTGGTCTGTCAAGATCCATCTGGATCTTGAGTCTATCTTCTTGGGTGTTAACTATCCTGCCAGCTTAATATAATCTGCAAATTTGGTAAGTTCCCCTTCTATTTCCTCATCTAAGTCGTTAATTAAGATATTGAAGAATACTGGGCCTAAGACGGAACCTTGTGGCTTACTTGCCTCCATGTAGACTTAAATCCATTAAGGACAACTCGTTGAGTATAGTTTGCTAGTCAGTTGCAAGTCCATCTAGTAGTGGTGCTATCTATTCCACTTTTTTCTAGCTTACTAAGAAGTAGGTTGTGGTCTACTTTGTCGAATGCCTTGCTGAAATCTAAATATATCATGTCCACAGTATTTTGCTGGTCTACCAATTTAGTCACCGTGTTGAAGAATGAAATAAGATTGGTTTGGCATGATCTGTTTTTAACAAACCCATGCTGACTGCTAGTTATTACTTTACTTGTTTCTAGATGTTGGCAGATCTGTTTTTTATTATCTTTTCCAGTATCTTCCTGGGTATTAATATTAGGCTGATTGGTCTATAGTTTCCTGGGTCTGTTTTTTTCCCTTTTTTGAAGATGGGAACCACATCAGCTCTTTTCCAGTCCTCTGGTAGTTCCCCGGTGCTGCAGGATTTTTGAAAGATATGGTGCAGTGGTTCTGAGATGACCTCTGCCAGCTCCTTTAAAACTCTAGGATGTAATCCATCAGGCCCTGGTGATTTGTTTTCATCAAGATCAGACAGGTGTTCTCTTACTATTTTTTTTTGCTTATTTTAACTTTTATTTCTGGTCTGTCTTTTACAGTTATGTTTTTGGTGGGTTGAGCTATTGTTTCTTTTTGCGTGAAGACGGATGCAAAGAATGAGTTAAGCAGTTCTGCTTTCTCTCTGTTGCCTGTTACTTCCTTGCCATCTTCTCTCTTTAGTGGACCGACTGTTTCCTTGATTTTTTCTTGTTATTTATATGTTGGAAGAAACTTTTTTTATTATCTTTGTCTTTTGTTGCAAGTCTTTGTTCACTCTGAGCCTTTGCTATCCTGACTTCGTCTTTGCAGAGTCTGGCTATCTGCTGATATTCTGCCTTGGTTGTATGTCCTTCTTTCCGTTTTTTGTACTTGTCCTTTTTTTCTTTCAATTTGCCAGAGAGATCTTTGTGTAGCCATGCTTCCCTTGATCTTGATTGTATCCCTGTTTCCTGTTTTTCTTTCTCAGTGGTATTGATTCTTGAGTGGTTTTCCCCTTTAGGCTTTTTATCCATGGAATCTTTCCCAAGTTCTCTCTGAGTTTATTGAAATCAGCTCTTTTAAAATCCAAGACTCTGGTGTCATTATGTTCTGTTGCTTGTGTTTGTGTTATGTTGAATTCTAGTATGACATGGTCACTCTCACCCAAGGTTCCTGCAGTTTCAACTCCCTCTATCACTTCTTCTCTGTTTGTAAGAATTAAGTCCAATATGGCTGTCCCTCTAGTTTCACCCTCTACCTTTTGGACAACAAAGTTGTCAGCTAGGTTGGTTAGGAACTTATTTGATTTCTCACTTGGTGAGGAATTAGTTTTCCAATTGATATCAGGATAATTGAAGTCTCCCATTACTATTGTTGTGTGTTTCCTGCATATATTTGTTAGTTAGCTGGCAAAAAGGACGTCTATATTTTCTGCTTGATTGGGTGGCCTATAATATATACCTGTTATGTCTCCCCTTTAATTACAGATGAGCAAAACAAAATTCAGCAGTTCCAAAAATATCACAAACCAAAAAACAAACCCCCACAAGAGAACTATTGAGGTATTCCAATCCTCAATAGTAAATCCACACTCTGTCCAGCAATCCTGACGTGGCAATAAATTCTCAAAGTCTCAAGAGTTCTTGTCATATTTTCACTCCCATTAATCACTTTGCTTCTGGCGAATTTCACCAGCCCAGCCATTTCCTTTTATCCTCTTATGCAGGGGTCCCCAACCACCGGTCCGAGGACCGGTACCGGTCCGCGGAACAACTCCTACCGGGCCGCGGCTTGCTGGGCGCCGCCATCTTTTTTTCATGAAAAAGTGCTTCCGGTGAGCTTTTCCGGGTAGAAAGCTCACCGGAAGCACGTTTTCATCAAAAAAAGATGGCGGCGCCCAGCTGATGCCGGTACCGGGCCGCGGCGCCCAGCTGATGCCGGTACCGGGCCGCGGCATCAAAAAGGTTGGGGATCACTGCTCTTATGGAGCGTGTTAATTTCCCTAATTAGTCACTGGCTCGACGCCTCCTTCCTAACTGAGTTTGACGTCTTAACCTACGTCTATTTCTTACGTCGAGCCATGATCTCTCAAAGTTCTCTTCTTTGCTGGAAAACTCTCGCATGTTTTCCTTGTTAGTTATTCCCGGCTGTTGCTCAGAGGAAGAATTAGAGAAGGTCGAAAGTCCTGACATCTCCACTAACTCAGGTTCATCTCTCCTTGTTAAATCCATTTCCTCATCCTGGCTAACATCCAAGTCACTTATCAATGCCGGCTCATATTTCCCTGCCATATCTTATATCTCATAGCTCGAACTCCCATCTGCCAAAGGAGCAGATTCCAAACCCGGTCACAACATACACCTATGGCCATATCATTCTTTTTTTCTTTTATATTGACCATATGCATTCTAGGAGATTTTCATCTTTGGTTTCATGCATTTCTGTAGCAATATAGTGGTCCTTGGAGGGAACTTGGAGGTCTTCTAGTCCAACCCCCGGCTTAGGCAGGAAATCCTATACCATTTCAGACAAATCGTCATCCAATCTCTTCTTAAAAACTTCCAGTGTTGGAGAATTCACAACTTCTGGAGGCAAGTTGTTCCACTGATTAATTATTCTAAATGTCAGGAAATTTCTCTTTAGTTCTAGGTTGCTTCTCTCCTTGATTAATTTCCATCCATTGCTTCTTGTCCTGCCTTTTGGTGCTTTGGAGAATAGGTTGACTCCCTCTTCTTTGTGGCAGCCCCTGAGATATCAAAACACTGCTATCATGTCAACCCTAGTCCTTTTTTTCATTAAACTAGACATACCAAGTTTCAGCCATCATTCTTTCTATGTTTTAGCCTCTAGTCCCCTAATCATCTTTGTTACTCTTCTCTGCACGCTTTCTAGAGTCTCAACATCTTTTTTATATTGTGGCAACCAAAACTGAATGCAGTATTCCAAGTGTGGCCTTACCAAGGCATTATAAAATGGTATTAACCCTTGATCTTGATTCTATCCCTGTTTATGTAGCCTAGAACTGTGTATACTGTACCTGTACATTTTGTTTTTCTTGCCTAAATGAAGAACCTTACTTTTTTCACCACTGAATTTCATTTTGTTAGATAGCGCCCACTGTTCCAAGTCTGTCATGATCCTTCTGTATCTTGAATCACAAACTTGAAGTAAATATTTCAGTTGGGTTTGGAAATGCACCTGCTGCTCAGCTCGCCTCTAAATTTACTCTTCCACTTCAGGCTATCAACGGCAACTGAACTACAAGCATCGTGATGGTTCTTACAGCGCTTTTGGAGAATCTTACTCTAAAGAAGGGAACACTTGGTAAGATTTCTTTGTTCTTAAGGTCACGTTTCCCAAACTTTCTACAATGATGGACTAACCAAATCAACATTCAAACAATTCAGGAGCCATAAAGGAGAATATTTGTAGCTGGGGATTGAAATGAGGGGTCCTTGGTGCTCTCTGAGCTTGGCTGTTTTCTTGCAGACATTTCATTACCCTAACTAGGTCATATCATCAGTGCTAGTAAGGAGTGCAGTTTGCTGTCCGTTTATATTCTGGTGTCTTGCCTGTCTGTGTGGGTGGGGATGGTCCTAGAGATTCTTTGATTGAGCTGTTTACTTGGCCAAGTCCAAAAATGCCAGGGAATTTCTAGAAGCCTGGCACTCTGACAAATGAGCCATTAACAGACACATAGACATTAGCAACATCTATAGATTATGCAAAAGAGACAATCAACCAGCCCAAAAGCTTGGTAGCAACTTTCCACCAGTAATCAGCACTTAGATCAGCATAGATTAGCTCCAAAGTCAACCTCATACCAACAATCAAGTAAACAATACCCCAAACAATAAACTGTCAAAGAACCATAAGTAAACAGCCCAACCAAAGAATCTCTTAAGACCACCCACACCCACAAGTCACCAAAATATAAGGTTGGTTCCCTTTAGTCTTTGGATGGGAAGCCACTAGGAAATCCCATGGCTTTAGGCTAAATTTGGATGTTGAAACAGCATCCCAGAAGAAGAAAATGGGAAGACAGTGCCATATTGCTGCCAAGAACATCACACAGGCATATTCATGTGATCCCCAAGAGACACTTCCCCAATTTATTGAGGGATGTTTTTAAAAAGGGGAGGATGCAATTTATACAGCAGGGAAATGGACTATTCCTCCTTACCAAGGGTCCAGCACATGTGCAGGATTGAAGAGAAACATGGTATAAGCATATCAAGCAGGGGAATACTCGGGAATGGTTTTTTAAAAAGTGAAGATAATTGCCTATACCTGTGCAACCACCACATTGCTGGTGGAAAGGGGGGCTTTGACTGCCCAGTTATAGCTGTCCTCCTTTCTTGATACCTTCTTTCAATGGGTTCTTCAATCCCAAGATGGCCGAAGATCGTAGGAGCTTGGGAACTAGAAAAAGAAAAATGAGGTTCTCCTGTGCTCTGTGCTGTCTTATAGGCTGACGGCTTTTGTGCTGAAATCTTTTGCTCGGGCAAGATCCATAATCTTTGTGGAAGACAAGCAGGTCAACGATGCTCAGAACTCACTGACACAGCAGCAGGAGAATGATGGATGCTTTCGGAGCACTGGGTCTCTTTTTAACAATAATCTCAAGGTACAAGAGGAAGGTGAAAGAAAACGGAGACGTGTCTTTGGAAATGAGAGTAGGGTATATTGGGATTATAGGTAGTCCTCGATTTATGACCACAATTGGGGTCACAATTTGGGACTCTAAATGATATAGTCGCTATGCAAGTCATCACATGGCCAACCTGATTTTATGACTGTTTTTATGGCACTTGTTAAACAAATCACCATGGTTGTTAAGTGAATCTGGTTTCCCCAATTCACTTTTTTTGTCCAAAACTGGCCAGGAAGGTTGCAGATTATGATCACAACAGGACTATGCAACTGTTGTAAATGCAAGCCAGTTGCCAAGTGCCCAAATTGTGTTCATGAGTGGTGTGAGAGTCGTACTTTTGAGGATGTATTGAAAGCTGGTTTATTCCAAGCCTGTTGTAACTTTGGACTGTCATGAAACAAATTCAGCTCAAGAAGGAATGTGAATTGAAGATACAGGCAGATTGAGTTGGTTTGGCCACATAGAGAATGATTGGGAATTACTCTGGATTTCTAATCCGGAAGAAAATATGTGTTGTCTTTCTGTTAATGAACAAGGACAACATTGACAAAACAGAAAGACTCGTGAATATTCAGCAGTCAGGATTTAACGTTTTACACGAAAAACTGACACAGTATCTTCAGAAGTGCCCAAGGGTGCATTTTCAGGAGGCAATTGAACTTTCTTCTTTTTGTTTGAAGACAAAGACATTTAGCTATGCATTTTGGGATGAACACCCTTCGAATAGTGTAGCTATTTAGCTATTTAGAATAGTGTAGCTATTTAGCTCATTTAGCTATGCATTTTGGGATGAACACCCTTCGAATAGTGTAGGAGTATGAACGGATTTCCAGAAAAATTGCAGAATACGAACCATTTGTGCTTCAATTTGAGATGCAGGCAGCACAGACTCATCCTCAATAGCCTGCACCTGCCTTCAGCAGAAAAGGAACACAGGGCAAACAACATCCTGCAGCTAAGTAAACTCCACATACATTTGCACTATTCAGGTGACCCTGATGACACAGATAACTAGGCCTCCTAGTGGCCTCGATGACTCACTCAGGGATGGGCTTCAATTAATTTAACAACCGTTTCTCTGCCCAGTTGCTGAGTGGGCGTGTCCACGGTGGGCATGGCCACCATGGTGTCAGCCTTGGAAGCCATATTTTACTTAGATATTTACTTAGCCATATTTACTTCTTCAATAAATTCTTATGAAATAAGGAGTTTCATTGGAACACTGACATCTGAGAGCAAAAACGGGCCATGGGGGTGGGCATTTTCACCCTCCCCGGGCTCTGGAGGCCTGTTTCTGGCCTTCTGGAAGTTCCGGGAGGCCCATTTTTTACCCTTCTCAGGCTCAGGAGGCTTTCCTCGAGCCTCTAGGAGGGTGAAAATGGCCTCCCCGGGCTTCAGAGGTTTGTGTTTTGCTCTCCCCGAACCTCCACATGATCCCTGCACTTAACTACCGTGTTTCTCCAACAATACGCCCCCCCCAATAGGAAGACCCAGCATGTTTTCTAGGCATAAAATGAAATTAAGCCCCTCCCCCCAAATTTAGGCCTAGTTTAAAACATGCGAAATTGGAAGGGGAAGGCAGGGGGGAACTTGCCATTAGGAGTGCCCCATGGACAGCTACACCTCACCATCAGCCGCTCCTAACAGCCAATCATGGTAGAGCACAGAGGGCTCCCTTACCCCTCCCTTACCCGGGTTAGCAGGCGGGCGGCATCGGCATGGATGTCCGGCAGCATTTCAGTTGCTTCTCAGGCCTCCGTAGCTTCCACAGTTCCCACCGGTGCTGGCGCCTCTCTTGCCACCACCGTCTCCAACAACAGCATCTGAGTCGCCTCCGCTTTCCCCCCATCTCTGTAACAACAGGGGGAAAAAAGATTTTGAGGTACCTGGAAGCACCATGAGCTGTGTTTTGGTTTAATTCCGAGCAGCTGGGTGGGCGTGAGAAGAGCCGAGCGAGCGTCTCTGCTGCTGCTACCCTTGGTGCTCCAGCCTTGGCCTCTGCAAGTTTGCAAAAGTCCCGGTGCGCAGCCTGTTCCTACATTCCAAGCCCCCAGGCCGAGCTGCAGCAGTCCCTTTCTTGCCAGCGCCATCTCCAATAACAGTGGCAGCAGCGGTGGGAACTGTGGAAATTACGGAGGCAGCTCCCCCGCCCAAGAAGCGCTTGAAACGCTTCCACAGTTCCCGCTGCTGCTGCTGCTGTTATTGGAGATGGCGGTGGCGAGAGAGGGACAGCTGCAGCTCGGCCTGGGTGCTTGGAATGCAGGAACAGGCTGCGCACCGGGACTTTTGCAAATTTGCAGAGCCTGAGGCTGGAGCACCAAGGGTAGCAGCAGCAGAGATGCTCGCTCGGCTCGCCTGGCCTTATTTTGTGAGAAACACGGTACAATCTAAAAAATGAACCACATGGGGACTCCTGGGAGGGGAGGGGTGGAGTAGGCGGGGCCAACAGGTGTGGCATATGCCGGTTCGTCAAACTGACCATAAAATTAACAACTGGTTTGCCTGAACCAGTGTGAATCAATAGCAGCCCACCCCTGGACTCACTAAAAGAATTCAAATGACCAGCTGTCTATAAATCCTTCCATTCCCCACCATCCAGTAAGAGCCGAGGAAGCTTGTTGGATGAGAAGCGAAACATCTTCAAAAGAAAAGACAAGAAAGTCCAGTTGCCTCCTGAAAAAGCACCACTGTATTGCTCAGTTCCCACAACTCCATGTTTTCTTGTGAGGGAGATATAATACAAATTTGAAAAGATTGGATGGATGATAGAAGATAGTGGAAGTTCTTTGTATAATCGTGCAGCTGATATATATCTCTCTCTCCTGCAGGGGGGAGTTGATGACAAGACCACTCTTTCAACTTACATCACCATTGCTTTGCTGGAAGTGCCGCTACCTCCCACCGTAAGTGTGCAAAGTGCAACCATGATTGCAGTAAACTAGCAGTGAGGAAACCCATGTTCAAGTTCCCACTTGGTCATGGAGTTCACAATCATTTAGGCTAATGAAATAGACCACATCTGACCAGCTTCATGGCACATGCAAAGTCATGTCATAGTCTGGTGAACCCAAAATGTAATTGTACAAGCTGAATAAGCCCAATTACCTCTTCCTTATCCCTCCTCTTCTCTAATCAATTCTGTCCTTTTCTCTCTCCAATCAATTAAGAGGCACGGTGGCTCAGTGGCTTAATGTCAGAGATGGTCTCAGTTCCGGTGGTTTGAGCTGAAGTACTATGTGGCAGGATGAGCTCCTGTCGCTTGCTTTAGCTTCTGTCACCTAACAATTCAAAAGCATGTTTTATACAAGTAAATAGATAGGTACTACTTTGGTGAGGAGGCAAACTGGTGCTCTGTGCAGGCAATCAGATTCCTGATAGCTCTAAACCTTTTCGGTTTTGGTGCCAATTTGCGAGGCAGCTCCGGGAAGGGAGGGGGCCTTGGGTGATGCTGCAGGAAGAACCACTCACCTTTCTCTTTGGTGCGAAGTCAGCTCACCCTCCTGTGGTGCACCTTGGGAAACACGCAAGTGTATCCTATAACAGGGCTGTACCTTGGCAAGTCAAACTACTACTCTGCAATAATATTGTGGTCTCCTGGCTACTGTAACAATGCCAATAAGACAATCAATTCTCCCCTAACTTGTTTCTTCAGATTTGGCTTCTAACGACCAGCTCTCTGACTCTTGGCAGCTGACTCCACCAAAGTAATTCTTCCAAGCAAGGTGTTCACAGTCTTCTTTAGCAAAACTTATTGAAAGGAGAGGGAAAGGGTGTTGACAACATCAACAGCTTTCACTTTAGGACCATGTTGTCTTTCAACAAATTAGGGTGAAGACTTTTTGACTTGCTTTCTAAGGACTTTTATGTGAACTGGAAAGAAGCTTCTTTTCGCAAATAACAGAAGCACCATTGTCAATCTTGATTTGCCCTGCTCCTCTTCCTCTCATAATTGACCCACCAGCATTCCCATCTTGGACCTCACCTAGGGAGGAATTGCTAAGCCTTGTTCCAAAAACACAGGAGCATGTAGGAAGAGCAAGTAGCTGATAGTGGCTCAGGCAGCAGAAATACCAAGATCAAGAGCTGACATTTCTGTGCTCTTCGTTTATCCTGAGCTTCTGACTTCTCTCTTTTCCTTGGAGGAAGAAAATAAGAACTGGCTTGCATCTGTTAGACCATCAGCTTGCTTGTTGGTGTATTGTTGTGAAGACTGTTTAACAACTTAAATGAATAATAAAGCCAATTTGATCAGAGGGCTTTTCCAAGATCCTGAGTTTCTTCACAATCTCCTCTTCAGGAACCTTCCTCCTCCTCTTCCTCCTCCATCATTTTAAGTGTCAAAGGAGATACAAAGTTCTGGTTCTTGCATTTTTGGTGGCCTAAATCACTGTTATTTGATGCTATTGTTGCGTGACTTTGATGTTGTCTGTCCATCTTCTGGGTCTGCCTCATATTCTTTGGCTTTCTCTTTTTGTATATGCTTCTATGGTTTAGACAGAATCTCAAGACACTCTCTCTAAATGATCACTTAACTTGCTATTTTTGCATATAGTTTAACATTGGATCTATTCCATTTCTTTCTCTTGCGATCTCATTTTTTAAATTTTATCCCTTCTGATCACTCTGGCAACTTTCTTCAAATGTTTAATTTCCGTGATGATTAACTTTCGCTTATGCTTTATGACAAATGACCACGACCCTGGTTAATATAGGGTGGAGATAAATAGGCTTTCTATACTGCTATATTGACTTCCATTAAACGTTTTCTCCTCTGCAGCATCCTGTGGTGCGAAATGCTTTAGTTTGCCTGGAGAAGGTGACTGAAGCAAAAGAGATCCACATTTATCTCCGGGCTCTGTTAGCATATGCTTTTGCTTTGGCGGGGAAAGAGGACAAGAGGCAAGAAATGTTGGACTCCCTTCTAAAAGTAGCTGTGGAGGACGGTGAGAAATGAGCTCTTTGTTATGAAAAGCAGGTACCCACCGAAGAAATTGGAAATGTGCAACCAACTTTATTGGCATGCGAAGAAAAATGTTCACTGGTCTCCCCAGTCC